TCCCATCTGGGCTTCTAAGACTGTGAATCTTCACAGGAGCTGACAGGGTGCAGAGATTAGCCAGCCAACAGAAGCCACTCTACCACCTGGGCTCCAAAAGGGACATATGCGTGCACATACTTTCATAGCTTCTATGACCTTGAGTCAAGTGCTTGAAGGGATAGAAGAGAAACACAGACCACCCTGCAAGGTTAGAATTTCCCAGCTGAGTCTTGGTCAGTAAGCGAGACTTGTCTAAGCAGAGACAAATGGGAATGCTCTTCTCATCTTTGGAAACACCTTGCAAATAGCTACATCGTGTATGCAATTACTTCTGTTTGGAAAGGTTTAGGTATAAATTCCCTGTGACAGGTCTGGAGAAAAAGGTAGAAGGCAAGTCATAGAAATCTTGGAATGCCTGTTATGTAGCGTAACCTCTTTCCAGAGAACATTACAACCAAACCCAGTGGCCAAACAACCAACTTCTGACTCCTGGCAACTTCGTGTGTATCAGAGTCAAACGATGCTCCACACACAGGGCTTTCTTTTTTAACTTTCTCTGGTCAGTTAGGTGAAGGTTTACATTTCAAATAAACAATTTTGCATTCACCAATTTAAATAACTTATCAAATAGCCCAATAGCTTTCCCCCTCTTGTTTTATCTCCTCTCACCTTTAGAAGGCTACCTTCCCTTTCCCCAAGTTAACACGTGTCTACCTTCTAGCCATGGCTTCCGTTCTCTTCCTTCCCCTGCAACCCTTTGTCACCATCAAAGTCTGCTTTGATGTGAAAGTGCTTTTTCAAAACAGTTTTATTGGCACTCATCCACATATCATAAAATTCAGTAGCTCAATCATATCATAAAAGAGTTGTATAACCTTTACCACAATCCATTTGTGAACATTTTTTTCTTCCTTGAACTCATTTTTATTCAAGGTTTTTTTTTTTCCATTTTGGCAAAAATATACACAACAAAACATTCTCCAATTCAACAACTTCTTGGTGTTTTTCATTTATCACAGTGATCTAATACATATCTGCCCTTCTGCGATTGATTATTTTGCTAACATAATGTCCTCCAAATCCGAACATATTATGAGGTGTTTCACAATTTTATCATGATTGTTTATCAGTGCATTGAATTCCATTGTGTGTGTAATCCGACATTTATTTATCCATCCTTCCACTGACAGGCATTTAGGTTGTTTCCATCTTCCAGCTTTGTGAATAGTGCTGCAGTGAATGTGGGTGCGCACGTATCTTTTGAGGTATACTATTCTCTCTTTAGGGTTGCTGTTGTTAGGTGCTATCAAGTAGACTCTGAGTCATAGAGACACCCCCCCACCCCCCTGTACAATAGAAGAAAATACTGCCCACTCCTTTGCCATACTCACAGTTGTTTTCTTGTCCAAGCCCGTTATCACAGTCACCATATCAATCCATCTTTTCTAGGGTCTTCCTCTTTTTCCCTACCCCTCCTCTTTACCAAGCAACATGTGTTCTTCCGGGGACTGGTCTCTTCTAATAACATGTCTAAAATATTTGGGACTTCGTCCATCCCTCTGAGAAGTATTCTAGCTGTACTGCTTCCAAGACAGATCTGCTGGTTCATTTGGCAGTTCGTGAGACTTTCAGTGTTCTTCACCAGCACCATACTTCAAATGCATCGATCCTTCTTCAATATTCCATATTCAGTGTCCAACATTCACGTGCATATGAGGCAACTGAAAAAGTCATGGCGTGTATCAGGCCGAGGATAGTTCTCAAAGTAACGTCCTTGCTTTGCAACACTTAAAGAGACCTTGAGCAGCAGACCCCAAACACTGTTCCATTTGATATAGCGACTCACGCTCCATAAACATTGCTTGTGGAAACAGCAAAAAGCAAGCAAGCTTTTCCACAGCATTCATTTCGAAGCCAAACATTTAACCACGACACCATCGGGGTTCCTTTGCAATCCCATTATTCAGGTCACAACCCTGATGCAATTGAAAGAACATTTCCTTAGGAGTGTGGTTTAATTCCTATATAAGTCAATGCTGTGGAAAAGCTTGTTTGCTTTTGGCTGTTTCTGAATACTGCTTCTGGTTAATGTTTGCACTTGAACCAATGGTTTGTATATTGCCTGCTAACCCTGGGAGCTATCAGCAGCCTGCCATCTGATTTACCAACCTTGGATTAATTCACCTCTCAAGTTACAAGCCTGACTCTATACCTTTTGATAGCCAGGAACCATCAGCTTTCTTCACCACATCGACTTATGCTCCCATTTTGT